GATTGTGCCGGCGATTGTTAACGCCCGCGTCGCTGGAATTTTAATCGCGCCGCTAATTAAACCGTTCCGCGGTGAACTTTATTGTTCGCCGCGTCGCGTTCGAGCGGCACGCGTCGTTCGCGATAAAAGACGAGTAAACTGTGACGACTGCTTATCAAATGAAACGCGGACAAAGGGGAACAAAGGAGAAGAGCTGTGTCACCGGTGCGCGAGTCGCTCAGACGAAAATGCGGTTAACACGTCGCATCCAGTTTAATCCTGAGGAAACTGAGCTGTATAGCTAGCAATTTACAATGAGATTAACTGACATCGCTGTACGCGGAAGAATTCTAATATATTTTAAACGAATGATTGGTTCCGATCAAATTTCGTATTGTTTTAAGGAAGCGGTCAGTAAAGTTCCAAATGCTGGTATTCTAAGTTGGTTTATTCGTCTTCTAATTCTTTATTATTTATCACCTGTTTATATACGCAATAGAAGAACGATTTAACTATTTAGAATTCTACTTCGATTGTGGAAGTAGAAAACGCGATCGCGCTGCTTGGCATTTTTCGATCGGCTTGTCGCGAAGATCTGACATTCGAGCGATTAAAGGATTTATTCATGTCGTTATTTTTTCTCGGGCAGTCTTTCTTCTGCAGCATCTGAACATGTTGTACAATAATTTCAAAAGTGATTTATTGAGAAATATTAATTTTCTCGATTTGCGTTTCCTTTCTTGCTGAACAAACGAGTTACAACTGTTTCCAGAGCTCGTCAATTCTGTGGTTCGCCTTTTCGTCTCGGTTCCCGTATCGAAGCGCGGATCCTCCCACGAGATCGCGTCGTCTACTCTCAATTAACCGTTAATTAACCGTGGCGGTGCGTCTGACAGTCGGATAAACGAGGCAGTCGTCGCCGAGCGATAGTTAAGTTTATTAACCGTGTAAGTGCGCGTTCCGTAATTCATTTCTTCGTGTTCCATCTCGAAGCCTCGTACTTCGTGATTAACGTTCATTAATATTTTTCCACTGTGTATTAGTTATCGCTGTGCTATTCGTTCCGTTGCACGAAGCTTGTACATCTTCTCTGTCCGAGTGAATATTAGATAATTAGTCGATGAGCTTCGTTGGAAAGCGATTGATCGATCGATTGACAGAATTGTATATTTTGCGGGATGCAAATGGAACTGTTTGTAAAACCTGCTCGTGGCATGGCGAATTGTTTTATTCGTGAACTGTAATCGTTACACGAGGAACTTCTAGCTCCAATTTACTCCGCCGTGTTTTGTATTAATAGTTTCATCCTGTTCCAACTAATTGTGTACAAACAAGTTTTTTCCCGGAATAAGTGGCGTTGATTCGCGCACGACCGAGCTTCGCTGCCGGAAGGTTATTTCATTCCGAAAATTTCATATCCTACAACGTGAATCATGTAAATGGGATTACGGGGACGGAATTATTTACGGGTATACGAATAACCGTTTAAAACGCGGCAAGTTATTGCATTTGTAAAGCGTAATTATTAATCTACTGGATTTCACGCGTCCGCAGCATACGAAAATCTTCGAAGAATTACGAAGCAGGAATATCAGTAAAATTCGATGCAATGTTGCTTCTCGTTTATTGAAACGATTCGCGGGAAGACATTGAAACCTGCACGTCGATTCCTTGAAAAATGCTTCTACAAACGCGTATCGTTGCAAACCACGATGGTTCAATGACAAAACAGCTACAGTCTAACGCACACCCCGCGAAACGCCGGAAAAAATGGTGAGAACGTTGAACAATACGTCGCACGTACACGAAATAAATTCACGCGACAATGTTCCGTTGCGCATAGCATCGAATAAATCGTATTTAACATCACGTATTCCAAATAAATTCATATCCGCCACCGTAGCCCATATAAATATATATAATATATATTTATATTCATTTCATACAGCGCACTCTAGATCTTCATTATTCATTCGTTCCGACGGAACAACGCGAACGGGAGGAAAGAACCGTTTCGCGCCGCGATTTCTCGCGGACCGGTAAATATCAAAGTTATTTTCGCGTCTTCCTCCCGCGTATTCCCGTAAACATTCGCGCGCGAGGAATCATCCCGCAGCCAGTCATCCCAGGAACACATTCCTCGGCGGCCGAAACGTCGCGACCGGCTAATTAGCGGGTTAATTACCGGTTTTTATTAAAACCGTTCCCGCTCTCCATAGAATTTCGGCGGCGGATTTACTTTTTCCCAGGCGCCTGGAGGACCGGGGTGGACACACGCGTTATTTTCCCCGTGCGCGGGGGGAGGATGAAAAAAAAATGCTGATTACGAGACGCGGTTTTTTCGCCGACGAACACGTAGTACGTGGGAACCGGAGAAATTTGTGTTCCGGGCGTGCGCGCAGGCTCCGCGTCGTGAAAATTATATGCCGGTAATTCGCTCGCAATTTATGCGCCACGCTAATGAATCGTGACCGTCGACGTTTATTAATAATCATGCGAGCCGCATCGGCGCGAGCTCGATCGAGCCTCCCGTGTATCTCCCCTCCGCCGCGGCGGGATCGCTGCGGTTAATTAAACGATTCGCGACCATGGTTATAACGAGCCTTTAACTTTATACCCGTGTTGTTCCGGCAACCCTTTCGGACCCGTTGCCGTGCCCCGACGTTCGATTTTGCGCCGATATACGTGTCGCCGACGCGGTTCAGCCCGGAAAGCAGAAATTGAGGAAATTAACGTTCTGGCTTGTGAAATGATTATGCAACGTAGTCGGAAGCTATACGGGGAAGAGCTTTCTGTCCTGGGAGGAACGACGGAGCGGGTAAATCCTTTGGTGACTGGAAAGAATATTGTTTCAGTCGCTCAGAAGCCAACGGGGAGAAAAGAAATTGAGAAAGATTGAGAAAGATTGAGATACGCGTTTCTTTTAATGCAAAAATTTGAGTGTCTTCGATTCATGGTGAGAAATGTGAACAGTCAATAGCAGTACGAATGGCTGCTAATGTGGAACACCTAGGTAATTCGTAAAGGATATTGATTTTTACCGCGGGAAATGAATATTTGTGGAATTCGGAAGGGCAAATAAACGAATTTTTGCGGAGGGTTAAATTGAACGATGCATCGTGGAAATCGTTCGCCGCGTTCGAAACGAATGCAATTAATATGGTACGCTTTTCCGACGCAAACACGCGCGTTCTTGTTTGCGGATTTCACCGGTGCATCCCCTGAGAGATTTCCCTCGTTTCCCGAGTCATAATACGCGGCATGCGCCTTCTATTTATCTTCAGACCTCCACTTACTCGCTCTCCGTAGACTTCCTTCTCCCCTGGCAGCGATAAGAAATAAATATTCCCCCATACCGAGTAAAACATCGCCGAGTGTTCACGGAGATAACCGCACTTCAATTCATACTGTTCCCCGTGCTATTAATGAAAACATTTTTCACGCCCTACGCGCGAGGAATACTTTAACGGACCTTTAGCTGGGTCGATCGAGTGGTTCCAGTGAACAGCTGGCATTTAGCTACACTTGTTCGGCTTATATAGGGCATAACATTGTTGAAAATTCAGTTATTAGAAACTTTTCCTCGCTTCATCTTATAATTTCATCCTTGAATCTTAATTTTCTTTGGAACAGAAATTCCAGTTTCTCTTAAACAAATAGAAAGTAGGTATAATAAAATGATTTGTATTGGTCAAATCAGTACATTTTTATAGGAGTAACATGATATTCTGAAAAGCAATCGTAATCTCGTTTCGAATATTAGCAGCAACCACTATTGCATCAATATGGATAGCATATTTCTAGCTTCAAATTAAATCAATACTTTGATTAACAAGGTCCAGTATATTCTCGAAATGTTCATTAACTAATGTATAAAACTTTGAATTAATGCATTTAATAATATCCTTTAAGAAGAGATCTGAATATCGTATTATTCTGCTCCTGTTGCGGCGGAGACGCATGGCGGGCCAGACGCCATTTGTACGCACTAATGGCGCCACTTTCGAACGCGTAATACGAACAGCTCTGTTTACGCGTGCCGGAGTCCACAAATAAATCGATCCACGAGACACTGGGAGCGATCAAATGGGATAAGAAACACGAGTCCGGGTACGCAGAATTCGAAACGAAGCTTAAACAAAACGTAATTGCTTGAAAATTGTTTAAACTTCAGATTAGAGCAGCGAATACCCGTGTGAATACGAATTTCGCGACATCGATCCCGGTTCGTCCGTGTCGATAAAGTATGATGTTCATTAGCCGAAACGGATCGAAAGTAGCCGTCAATCGACATTTAATTAACGAATGCAAAGAGAAGTGTACGGACCCGGCAATTTCTTAATAAACGTTCAACAAGCTGTTGCCTTGCCCGCCGCTGCTCAAGAGGCTCCGAGCCTCCTCAGTGTTCCGCCATCGCTGATTCGCGTAATCATTAAAGCGGGCTGCGAATGAAATTTCTATGGAGTCTTCGTCTCTCTTCGCTCCTCCGGAACGTGTTTCCCGCGCGACGCAATTACTGTCAATAATAGATCGCTGCTATTATTGGAATTCTATGATAAAGTTCGACGAAGGGTGAGGATGAAAGCGGAACGCAGGACAATTGCGGGTCGGCAAATGACACGATCACAATTGTAACGTTGTGAAAGCATTCGGTAATAAATGTAATGTCGCAATTTGCACTTGTACGAGGTGCTCGGCGTTATAAACTTTTCCGAAATATCGACAATCGCTTGCAATGTTTAAAAACTTGCAATCTTTACACGTAACGATCGATCAATCTTTCTTTATATCTTCAACCGTATTAACACCTACTCTATGATCCGATATTATAATAATATACTCCTATATTAATACGAAATATGCGTTGCCAGCGACACAAGGGAATACCGAATATACCCGAAAATATTTGTTACTACCCGATCGAATTTAACACAGACGTCCCCATCGAATACTCCCTCCCCGCTTTGCACGATAATGCTGCCAACCCGTCGTTAACATTCCCGATTATTTTTTCATTGCAGAAATACGTGATGGGTCCGTTCGATCACAAGAGGTACACGTACGATCGCTATATGCCGTTAATTTTCATCGGCGGCGTGCCGCGCTCAGGCACCACCCTGGTGCGCGCCATGCTGGATGCACATCCCGATGTCAGGTGAGCCCCCTATTCACGGGACAAATTGCCAATTAACGCCCGATACGATTGGCGTCGAGTGCACTTGATCACTGCCCGCGTCAAAGACCGGCCGACGAGTAGCCGGATGTTGACTCGCGAATCGTTTTTCCCGTGACAGGTGCGGCCAAGAGACCAGGGTGATACCGAGGATCCTGCAGATGAGGATGCACTGGCTGAAATCGGAGAGGGAGAACCTGCGGCTGTCGGAGGCGGGGATTTCGAAGGAAGTGAGTACCGCGGAACTGTACACTGTGGCCCCTCTTATCAAAGAGCTCTAAAAACTCCCACACACGTGGAGAACCTACGGTCATGCTTGCATCGCTACGAATGATGGCTTTGGCTCTTCCAAAGTTACGATACCCGTATTAAGAAATCAATCAATATTCAATAAATACATGACCTGAATTCCTATATAAATATATATTGAAAAAATTAAATTAAATGCTAAACAAACAACAATACACAATCTATCTTCACAATAAATCTTCTCATCAAATAAATTAACGAGTTCCCCTACTGAAAAGACATCTCACCGCGAAATTACTTAATCATGTACATTTGAAGTGAAGTTCTCTAGTTTCCTGCAGAGAACGGCGGTTCAGCCGTTTGCGGCGACAAAGCTGTCGTCCGATCGTCACTCAATAACCGTTTCATCCCCCAACGAGCTCGTCCGGGGTCACACGAGGATATTAATTACGGAATGATAATTTGGCCAGGTGATGGACAGCGCGATAGCGGCGTTCTGCCTGGAGATCATAGCGCGCCACGCGGAGCCGGCGCCGCGGTTGTGCAACAAGGATCCCCTCACTCTGAAGATGGGCTCGTACATCCTCGATCTCTTTCCAAATGCCAAGTTTATCTTCATGATCCGCGACGGCCGTGCCACCGTGCATTCCATTATCTCGAGAAAGGTACGGCTCCCGATCGAAGCCGGCGCATCTGCGCGCGGTTCGTCCATGCAAATTCATCCGGCCGCTCGACTCGCGAATATTAAAACGCGCCGCGCTTGTCCGAGCGCCGGATAGGAGGGAAACGATAGGCGTCCGACGGGACGCTGGAGATCCGTGGGGTATCCCCCGAGCGCGAGCGGAACGGCGAAAAAGGAGCGATAAGAACGAACCGATCGTCCTCCGTGAAATGTAAATTCATGTAAAACGAGGACCGCGGGCTCCTCGATCGGACTAATTCGATCGCGCTGCCGGGGGTGCTTCAGTCGTTTTCACGAGGGCTTAATGGAACATTGCGCTGCGAGGTGTACGAAAGGCGGAATGAAATATTCGCCGATCCCCGCTCCGCCGATAGGCTGCCTGCCTTTCACGCGAGATCCTTCGGCTCGGAGTTATTTCGCTGAGTGACTGCAACCTTTGGGGATGTTTTGTAAAGGAAACCGTCGGATGCGTAGATTTTAGGGTAGCTCGCGTTTCGAGGGTGGCGTTCCTTCGAGTGAACAGACGCGTTTAGCTCCTTGCCTTGGAAGAACTTGCTGGAATTGAATTTGAATTTAGTATTATTCTTCTATTGTCAGTTATACTTCGGAAAGATATGGAATATGTATTTCAATCTGTTGTTTCTCTTAATGAATTAATTATAGAGTAGTTGTATCGATCAGAGGTTAGAAACAAATCATAAGGCAAGGGGTTAATTTCCACGCGGTCTTTGAAACTTGCGGATGAACCGTTTATTTTGAAAGTGGCTGTTTTCCAGAGAAGTAACTTAATGGTAACAATTGTAATTATAAATTTCTTTATTCTTTAACAGTTTTATTTTCTACTAAATGGACGATTTTCCAAAGAAATCCCATTAATGGTAACAATTCCAATTCTATATTTTATTTTTTAACAGTTTCTTCTTTCTTTAATAGGGTTGTTTTCAAAATAAACGGCTTAGATGAGTGGCAGCAGAATCTTTGTTCGTTCAATCCTATTGCGAAGCTTCGAATAAGTTGGACGATTGATTTCTAAAACATGCGGTCAGTTGGAGAAGTGTGTCAAGGATCGTGTGTCTTTCAGGTCACTATCACTGGCTTCGACCTGTCCTCCTACAGGCAGTCGCTGATCAAGTGGAATCACGCGATATCCATAATGTATGGACAGTGCAAGGAGATAGGGTCGGACAAGTGTCTGATGGTGCCGTACGAGCAGCTGGTGTTGCATCCGCGTCAGTGGATGAAGAAGATCCTGAACTTCCTGGACGTTCCTTGGAACGAATCTGTCATGCACCACGAGGAGTTCATTAACAAGCCGGGCGGCGTGCCTCTTAGCAAGTGAGAAAACTATGGAAACAACTATGAAGTAGATGATTCGTTATCTATTCTGGGCGTTCATTGGCTATTCAGAAATAGAAATAGGCTATTACCTATTCAAAAATATAGTTTACTACTTATTCAAAGCTAGAAATACTCTATTACATATTCAAAAATATAGTCTACCACCCATCCAAAGCTAAAGAAACTCTATTACCTATTCAGAAATAAGCATAGCCCCTTACCTACTCAAAAACAAATACCTCGTTGCATCGTTTAAAATATTTCATCTCGTTAAGTGACTGTCCACGAATAAATAATTCAACGTCAATAGCGAGAGCCCTTGGCGCTTTGTTAGAGGATCATAATGGTTCACAAAGGAAAGAACGATATAGACGGGCGGAGCAGGATTTTAACGATCGAATGCTGAGATTCTGTTGTATTTTCGGTATGCAGGGTCGAGAGGTCGTCGGATCAGATCATAAAGCCAGTCAACTTGGAAGCGCTGACCAAGTGGGTCGGCCACATTCCGGACGACGTAGTCAGAGAGATGCCTGACATCGCGCCGATGCTTTCTGTGCTCGGCTATGATCCTTATGCTAATCCGCCGGTGTATGGAGCGCCGGATAGGCTGGTTAGCGAAAACACCAGACGGTATGTATTCCGTTTAACGTTGATACTTCAGCGAAATCGGATTCATAGATTCCTATAGGATATTCGGAATAATCCCTGGAGCATCCGGCGTGCGACGGGCCGCTCGATTCAACCGTGGAAATCGTTGCAGAAAATCAGCCTTTCTTATTTAACCCATTGCACTCGAGAGGTGACTCTCAAAATTTGATTTGATTTGATATAACAAATTACAAATTACTAGATTTACGTTCCGTAAACCTAGTGTTAAACTGAAGATATGCACTTTTGAGAAAAATTCGAAAGAATCGACTCAGAATGAACATAAAGAACATAACATCGTCTATATCGGAAAGTGTCGAATGTTTCTAGCGAAAAACAAAGGGTCAAACATTATTATTCCAACGAATCCACAGTATTCCAAACATAAGTTTCCATTGTCTCAAATTAGAATACACTATCCTCTCCATTTTCGTTTCCAATTCCTTCCGTCCATCGTCGAGATACGAATCGTCGACAACTGTTCCTCGAGTTCCTACAATATACAAGAACACGCGACGCGTTCAGGGCAATCATCCCGTCCCCCCGTTTCCACGGGAAACGACATACTCCCTTGGACAATATTCTTATCTCATTATTCTCCTCCCCTCAGGGTGCTGGCGAACGGCGAGGTATGGGCAGCAAGGGCGCGCCAGTTCTCCCTGGAGAAGCTGATCGAGCTGAGCAAAGAGGACGAGACCACCAACGCGGCAAACGCGTGACCTCGGTTACACGCTACCCTAGGCGCGCGGACCTTGAACCTGTACAATTTCTGCAACGTTTAACGAGCCGATGGAAGCTCACTGGAGAGCCAGTACCGAATCACCGTCTGTGAAGGCGGACACGCGTCACTCGGCTCTTATTCTCGCGTAGACTCGCGGACAGCGAACCGAGCTCTGGACTACTTTAACTATAAGATTGACTCCCAGTCCGGCGTTTCGCGTTCGAAGGTAACGACACGGCGAAGCAATCGATCCAGGATCATCAAACGAAAGTTCACTCGCCGGTCCGAACCGAAAGGGCCGTTTTTACCGGTTGGAAATTCGCCGGAACCGCCCCGAAAGGGGAAGCTGATTTACGTGGCAGATGGTTCACGCAGTTTCGGATGCGCGACGGCCCGTTCCTGTAATTGTGAATCCCTGGCCGACCAAACTATTCTTCATGGTCCCATTCGGCTGGGTTTACCGCTTCGCCGCGCCATTATCTCGGGACGCGGCAGCGCCGGGCTCTCGCATTCGCACGCGAACGATCGCGGTTCGCGCGGCCACGCGACGATGGTTATTCTCTCTGTATATTTTAACCGGTAGACGTTGAAACGCGAGGCGGCATCCGCGTTGTAAATAGCCGCACGGTTGTCCCGCGTGACGCAGCTTCGCCGTTCCGGAGCGGCGCGCCGTTAACGGCCGGATTTAACGCGATCGTCGCCGATCCTCTCTGGAAAACGCCGTGTCAGCTGGTCGCCGATTACCTTTGTCTATTATGATAGTTCGACTATTTTACTTCGATTATCGCGGCCCGCGGAGGGTGGAACGCTGAACTGGTCCCGTGCGATCAGTGACTGGAACGTGGATCGCAGAGGTCCGATGCGGAAGCGCGTTGAAAAGTTTTCGAGAGTGAGAGTTTCTTCTTTGGGATTGTAACGATTTTGTTTTGTATTCTTGTATAACGAATTGTCTTTGACACGTTCTGTGCCATGTATGGTACGCGAGTTTCTGAGAGGAAATATTTTTAAACTGTTACTAAATAATGCTTAGGAAATTCAGTATCCGTCGAATTGTAAATCTAGTGTTAAACTAACTATTGAACATGTTTTTACAAAAACTACAAACGTGGATTTAACGTCATTTAACATCACATATTTGTGTAATCCTATATTTTACATGATGAAAGTCAAATTAATCCTGTGGATATTGTTATTGGGAATTGTAAACTACATTTATTTAGGAACTCAGTGACTCGTTTGTTTCATTTTTCTAATATTTTCGTTGGGAGGTTTATTGGATTGAAAATATTATAATACATAAATGTCACATATGAAAATCCTATATTTTACATGATGAAAATGAAATTAATCTTGTGGATATTGTTATTGGGAATTGTAAACTACATTTATTTAGGAACTCAGTGACACGTTTGTTTCATTTTTCTAATATTTTGGTTGGGAGATTTATTGGATTGAAAATATTATATTAGATAAGTGTTACATATAAAAATTGAGAACTTGAATATGACTTAATACTGTATTTAAAAGATCAGTACAGTTTACGAGTGAAATATAACCGAAATTTCTATGGCATGGAACGTGTTGATCAATGGTACTTATCATTGTTCGGTCGAGCTTGAGTGTGAATTGGTTCAAAGAGAAGAGTCTTAATTCGTACGTTCGTTAATTTTCTACGTTTATAATGTAGACTAGGGACACTAGCGAACATTGAATGTCGCGTTCGTTGCTGAACCGCTTCGAGGACTCGTCAATTTCCGCTTTATCTGTCTGTTACAAGTATCAACTTAGTGTAGGCGACTGGAACAGTGTTAGTTGTATAAATTTGCATTGCGCAAATGGAATTCGGCAACGGACGTGTTAGGGCCTCCGCGTGTGGAGCACTCGATGTTCGACGGCTCGCACTTAGAACGTATGCGCACATTGTTCGTCTTTTCTTATCGATTTCCAGCGCAGGGAGCGGAACAATCAGTTCACAGAGCATGATCGATAACGAATTACCGGTTACTGATTGTTTCGTGTTAAGGTTACAGTGCTTCGACGATGGGAAATCATTTCCTGTTTCAATCGTATTACCATTTAAAAGGTGGGATACCTGCAGACACTGATGAACATTTATAATTTGTCTATAAATTTTCATTGTCGACCGTCGATTATGATACACAGCGAAGGTCGCTGCAAGAGATAATTATAACTTTGCGCTAACGATAAGTGTCCTGTATCATTGTGAAATCTTTCGTCTGACCGGCGACCACGACAGGTGCAACAACTTCGATGTGGCATTACGTCATTCGTGTAAAACCATGTTACTGTCTATCGAATTATACAATTAAATTATTTTAATATTACAGAACCTCTCTGGTTTCCATTCCCTTTCACAGAGCGAATGACAATCGGTAACTGGTTTCTCGTCTAATAACGTGCCGAGCTCTCCGTCCACGGTAAGTATAAATTTACGTGTCTCGTAAATTCCGGCGTGTTCGTTCTCGGCGCAGTTGCGTTTCGAATGGACAAGTCCGAAATGGACGTTATCGAATTACAGTTGCCGAACGGACGTTATCGTAATTTACGAGCCCGATCGCGATCATAAAATTATCCCCGGATGTAATGTACGTCGTAACGGCTTGTCGTTAAATCGACTGCAATCAATTTGAACGCCAATGCAGTTACAATAATAATATTGCGCTTAATTGGAACGAACACATCGGCGGATTTGATGTTTGCGCGGTGCAGTTCTGTTCTAAGCGTTGCGACACGGGGGCTGATGTTTATTTGGGTGTAGGGTTGACGTATGCAAATCACATTCGCCCCTGGCAATATAATAATTCCGTGGACCCTAGTGCTCGCGGTTGCATGCATTAAGGCGCAGATTTACTTCGCATTTGTTACCATTTGATGGACACAGAAACTGCTTTTGCATAGATAATGTAGGGAACATCAGGAATATTGATCCTTATCGACGGTGGTTTAAACTAATGATTAATTATTGATTAATATATATAAATATCATGATTTAATGCCATATTTTTTTTTATTATTATAATTTTCTAGAAGATTACCATTTCAGTTAGTAGTAAAAATGCTAATTGTTTTCTGAGTGATGGAGAATATAGTAACTATCATGTAAGAAAAGATAAATGATTAAGATCAAATATTCATGACATTTATTTGTTAAATATGAAAGTATCAATACAGAAATGTAGTTTAGAATATTTTACTAAAATTTAATTTGCGCTTACTTTTTCTGTATTTTATAATTATGAGCTTTCATCCATTTCACACATTGCATTAAATGGACACTCTTCTTCGTGATCAGGAAAAAGTGCCTTCATGATTGATAATGGACATGGTAAGTGTAAAGGACAACCTGACAGATAGAGCGGTCGCTCTTGGTGCATGAAAAGAACACTAGGTCCACTATGTGAACAACTAAAACAAATCAAAATACAATCGAAATGTTCACGGTTTTCGATATTACACATGTGAAAAATAATAAATGATAGCTACTTGAATAAAACAAACGCTATGTTAGATGCGAAGGTATCAATGACACCAGTTTTCCAAGCTCTATCATTCCCATATAAGTGAAATAGATTGTGAGTTAAATGCTGATCGTCTCTAGCAACTCCTAATGAAGCCAATAACTTTAGAATGGTGCCTGAATGAGTAAAGTATATTGATACCAATGGACCATCAACTGACCTGTAAATAAGAAGTTATTGATTTTATGTTCTATGACATTTTGTGAGTACATAAACATATAAACTTACCCGAAAAAATCAAACATATCCCTCAACGCAGGACATGCTTGCTCATAACTTAATTTATGTCCATATCCATCAATCCAATATTTTTGTAAGTCCTCAACATACTCAAGTATCTGAAATATTAGTATGAAGAATATTAGTATGACTAACATTCAGTATGACCTGAAGACTCACCTTAAATTCATCTAATGTGAACATTCTACACCAAGGAGACTCTGCATCAAGTAGCCATGCAGTTTCAAAACCACACATCATATACATCAAGTTAGCAGTTTCTAAAATGTATTTTTTTTTGTATATCAGATTCTTAAATCTTTAAATTCTCTTTCTCAAATCATTTACTTAAGTACTGTAGACTAACCATGATCAATCTGATGCCCAATACGATTAGAAACATTCTCCAGCATCCTATTGTAAGTTTCACTTTTCAAGAACTTTTCTTTTTCTATTTGTGTATCAGGGTTCATATGCACCTTATGCTGCCAACGCTCACAGAGTTTGTAAAACTAGAAACTTGAAATAAAACAATTAAATAACAGAAAACAATTAATAGTTCGATTAGAAAATAAAAAATTACTCGTAGCACAGGGTCCTTGTGTTCTGCCTCTGGATACTGCACTTTGTAACTTTTGTATCTGCCAAATAGACCAGTGGCAAAGTTTCTTGCACTTTCCTCTGTGCGTTGAGTGGCAGTGTATTTGAACTAAAATTTAATTTAGTATAAAAATAGTAATTAAATTGCAGTTAACATAGAACAAAATAAAACCATGGCATGCTTTTACCCTGTAAGTCTTATTACTGTATTCTTCTGACATAAGGAAAGGGAACCTAGACTGGTATCTTTCTGCAAGATCAATCATTTCATTTCCACCTTCCTCTGTTAGTTTCATAACATCATCCTCTGTGAAAATGATTTTCCAATCCTTCAATAAAGCTACATCTTCGTCCTTTAAACTTGTCTTTCCTGTTTGATAATTATGTAAAATAGTTTGTTGTAATTGTGGCAATTTCTCAATCATAGATGGTATATACTTTTTGCCAGGATACCTTGTGCCATGCCTTAAAACTAGCCATATCTTTTTAGGAGTGCAACCTAAACACAACATGCATTAATTTATGATAAGGTATGATAAGATACAATATGGTATTTTATTAAATTAATAAATATTTTACACACCTGAGTATTCAAGAGGAGAATCATCATAATTAGCTATAAATCTGTATGGTGTTTTTGTTCCTAATTTACATCTATAATCTTTGCCATGTAAAAAGCAATTGTGTGCAAAGGATATTGCTGCACCAATGCAAAGTACTAAAAGTACTTGTACTTTTAATATTTGCCACATTCTGTAATTGAAGTATTGAATTGATTATATAGAATATATCAAAAATTTGTATAAGGTTTATATCATAAATAACCTAATAATAATTGTAACTTTACCTTGACATAAATTTCTTCTGCTAGCAGGAATTTTAATGCAAGTAAATGGAATTATTTAACCGTTTTTTACGGTTGTCATAATGTAAATATTTCTGAATAATTCTTTCGTAATAACGAACAAATCACATAGTATCGAGCAAACATAGCTTAACACTGTTTTCATTCATACAAATTTCCATGTTACAAAAAATAATTGATTAAATATTAAGTAATATTTGCAGAGGACATTGAAGATTGATTTGCAAATATAACAAAAAATTAAAATATATCAATAAAAATATTAATGTAAATGATCCAACGATTCGATTTGTCGCATTCCTAAAACAATCAACATTGTATGTCGTTCGGTACATGAAGTTCTAAAGTACGAAGTTATGTGAATAAAATGTTCAAATCACATTTATCAGTAATGCTCGTTCCTTTATTTAAACAGTATAATTTAACTTTTGTTAAAAAGAATTAATCGTAAAATAAGAACACAATTACATTTTTTATTTTTATCATTGTTAGACAATTGTACAATTAAGTTCTATTTTATCTCATAACCTCACGCGTTTAAATTGACAACAATACAAGATTTGTTTCTAAATAAATATGTTTTAAATAATCTTATGTTGTTTTTCATTGTAATACTATTTTTAATGTATAAATTATCGATTTAAAAGTAAAATAAATTATCGATAGAATTTTAGATGACATAGACTTATTTGTACAAGGTATGTTCATAGTAAAATTTTATAACAGAAAGATATCTCAATAATACTTTATTGTTACTTTTCATAGATGGGAAAGAAAAGGAATGTTCCACCACCGGTTGCACCAATTCCTGGGCGTGTGAAAATAGAAATTAAAGATGAATTGGGTAATTAAGAAGTAGCATTAATTATTGGAGCATTACTGTATAATTGTTTCATACATGTAGCTTATCATTTTAGATTCATGATAAAATTAAATATGTAGATTCTCTTATTAACAACACAAACAATTGAATAATGATCTTTCCTGCAGGAGATAGCGATGTATTAGTTGCAAGAGATCGCTTAAAAGGAGCCCTCAGGGAGCTTCTGCAACATAGTGATACGGGATCATCAGGAGATTCTAGTGAAGAAAGTTCCGCACAAGATTATAAGCATCAAATGAAGAAAATGTAATATTACTTAAGTATTTTCAATTAATTTTTTATTATTCGAAGTAATAAGTATCTAACTTCTAGTGATAACATGTATAGGACAAAAACACTGAGTTTCCAGCAGCCAAGAAAAGTCAGACGTAGAAGACAAATACCCTTGGACACATCATTCCATCATACTTATGTAATGAAATTATTTGATCGGAGCGTTGATTTGGCACAGTTTCAAGAGGACACACCACTTTATCCCATATGTAGAGCTTGGATGGCTAATCAACCCCGGAATCCTAATCTTGTTCCAAAGTAAGTAATTAAATAGAATTATTAAAATTATACATGTATCTAATTCTTCATTATTCATATCATCTTTACGTTAATCCAAATGATTGTTCATAAATTTAAAATACAACCATAGACCTTTACCATAATACAGATCGAAACCAGGAAATGATTTTATACTTTTATTTGATTTTAGAGTGCGTAGCCCAAGTCCAGAAATAGTAAATGAAGTTAATATAAGTAACAATATACTGGATACTAATGGAGAAGTTCGTGATGTATATTATTTGCCACCTCCATTGCCTTGTGAAGAAGCAATACCTAGGAACCGTATACCTTCACCAATACCCAGAGAAAAGGAAGAGTTGAATTTAGATTATGTAAAATGTTCAGATAAATTTACATACATTATCCTCTTAACAAGGGGATACAATTATCATAGATGTATAATCATAATAAATATTTATTTTATCTATATTATATTCTAGGACGGACAGTGTCTGAAATCACGAGAAACATTGTTAAGAGAACATAGAACACATTGGAATGCGGTACGTAAAAAGTGGCATCAACAAGCTCACAAGAATGAACAACGTTTTGTACAGAGTGCAAATATACTGAATACTATTTTTAAAAGGTATGGTGTGCAAGATGCATAAAAATATTCATTTTTCATTGGGACACTGCAAAAATATTATCAGATTGAATTTCATGTTGTTAGACGCACTTTATTATAAAAAACATTTTTATTTCAGGGCACAATCAGAATTCGAGTAGTTCATCCACATCAGTATTGATCAGTTTCCCAAAATCTGTATTTGATTGGTATAGAATGTACTTGTCGTTTTTCTACACACGATTTATTTTATACCCTTAATTATATCTGCTATATGCTACTTGTAGAAATATATCTTTTTGTTACAATATAATTAATATAGCGCAATTATATTTTAAGTTGTTAGCGTAGTAAAGGAATCACATGGCGGGTAAAAAGTCTGTCCAATAAAATTTCTTCTAAAATATTGATATGATTCAAGTCGAAAGATATTACTACCAATCATAAAGTCTGGTTGAAAATGTCAAGACAGTCAAGGAATACTAAAGAAAAAAAAAATTTGATATCTCTGGTAAGTTTAAGAAATTGTTCGGCAAATTAAATTAACATTTCGAATGAGATAACGATGAACGATGACTTCTCCTAATCGAAGATCTTTAGGAACCCAATTGAGACTTCATCCAAAACTTCCTGAAACTTTTTTTTCCATACTGCATTTGTCCGTAAATATTTCATTGTAGAGCTTAATTATTTTATTAATGGTTTAGCGAAGTACTAATCCAATGATTTCCTAATGATGCCCTTATACTCGAGAACCAAACATATTAGAATCATTGTCGCATGAAGATCGCAAGAATTTATTCTCCCCTGTAGACTAGGAACTTGAGTATTTTGATAACTGATACATGTAGTATTATACTATCGATCATCTTCATACATTAAAATTAGAAGAATAAAGTGAACTATCTAAAAACTGCGTTTTATTTAGAATAATCCTGATTCAACAGACAAGCTTCATTTAAATCTATATTCATTTAAAGAACAATATTCTTTTCCTGAATAGTTATTATCAATCGTTATAAACAATTATGACTATAGACAAAGATTCGGGATGTAACAATTTATAAATATACTTATATACAATTATGTTTGATTCTCGATACCAATTGCGATTCACTGACAACAGATTTTTAGTAAATATACCGATAAAATTATTTATCTACGATGAATATACTATAAGGAATAAATAACAAACTTCCATTACATTACCATTATTCTTAATCAATTGAAATGCTACTTATAAATATTTTTATCACGGGTATAAAAAGGAACTTGGAATAATTTTCCATAGCTCGAATATTAAGAGAGGCAGCTTTTAGTATACTGTTACGAAGAATTAAGATATATAAATTCTTTAAATGTCACTTGATCGATTTCGTTACCAAACAACTTTTGGAGAAGAGAATCTAATGCCAGGAAAAAGGACAAAACGAATAATGTTGAAGGCTTGAGAATTACAAGCTTTTTATTTTCCGTTGATTGACAGTCGTAGCTTACAGCACGCACTTTCAACAAGATGAATTTTTCATTTGATTGATAAATCGTTCGAATATATTCTCAGACTCGAAGAAAAATGTTCCGACATGATGATCCGCCAGAGCGATTGTAATTTTCAAGACTTCTTATCTTTACGTATCGTGATCCTCGTATACTACTAAGACGTTCCTTTCATATAAAATGTAGCTAAGAAATAAATAACATAAGTTAAATCATTTACTTTCATAGTTAATGTTGTATACGATCTTCGCTGTTTGATCTGTATGCTGTACTATTATCATCATCCCCCACAGTAACAAATATCTGTTGCAGCCAACAGTTCTAGTTCTCGATATACAGCGTCCAGAAGTGATTCTTATGAGAGGGACGATATAAACTTCCCCCAACTAAAAAGGACATCGGACTACTATACGTCTAGTTGCTTTACAGCTGAGGGAGCGACTTGTTCTCTGCAGCAAGAATCGCTGTTGGATGATGCACGTTATGAATCGTAGGAAATGTTTCTTATTCGACAGTCTCGACATTGCGCGGCCGGAAGATTTCTCGTGGTCGTGGAAGTACAACTTGATCGAATTTCATTAAAGACTAAATTGCACATCGTACAGTTCACTTGTCTGTAAGGGACAGCTCCAACACTTGCCGGAACGTTTCTTCTTCCAGCAACCGTCGTTGCTCCTCTTCAAGTTGTTGTTGCTCGGACAATCTTAATGCTAGTCTCAATTGTTCCGCTGTGTCCTCGAGTGCGTCCGGATCCTCTGTGTCGCTGGTTCTGTTCGCGTTAGTCCGACCGCTCGCACATGCAGCAGCACTCTCCTGGTACAGCGCCAGGCTTGCCTGAATAGCTCTGCATTAAACGAGAGATAAAGTGTTTATTGTAGTGTTCGTTAAAGGACAGTTTCTAAACACTGTTATTCTAGGGCACGTCAGTGTGTACAAAAGATCTAGGTTCTGGCTAAGCGCTCAAAAAAATAGGATTTCTAAACAAATTCAGAGAGCTATTTCTCTTCTAACGCGGTCCGATCGTCTTCTTGCATTTCATGCAAGAATGTGTGTGCTTGTAGAAATTTATCTAAACGAGGACTAAGAAAATACATCTTTGGATGTTCCTCCGAACAATCGTAATGTTCAACCAACGTTTGTAACAGGTATCCTCCACCCACCTTCCTGAATATGAATTGTCGAGCAAGGAAAGAACACATGCAAAATAAATCGTTTAGAACTTTTCAAATGAAACCAAGGTATCCGAAACGACATTCTCGCGAGTGGAATTGGCTCTCGTACCTTTGAAGTTGCCTTTCCTCCTCCGCGGTCATGTTTGGTGTTGTTGGTCGGGATGGTTTCTGGGCTCTTAAAGCTTCCCATATGTCAACCTTAATTTTAATCGATTCAAGGATTAGAATGCGTTCGAATAAAAATACAATGAATTGATATATACATATATCTGTATACCTCGTCACGTTCACTTCCAGCTTCTAATAAACTTTGCTGAATAGCGAATTGTAACAAGTCATCCTCCTCCTCGATACTGAACTGCGTTCGAACTTCAGCACCTGTACAAAATTATAGAATAAAATATCTTGAAGTATTTTAATGAATGGTAATATTATTATTTATGCCCTGTTTACCTAGTTTGACGTAACCCGTCGGTGCTTCGAAGCAAGTGTCGTCAACTAAACACGTCATACTATTAGTTTCTTGCAAATGACCCACATGAGGTACCTCCTGATCCATACCGAAAATATTTCCAAACGTAATTCTTGCATTTAATATATGAAACAGAGGAATTTCTATAACATAAAGTATAATTTAGTTAAATACGAATTTTTTCTATAAGGAGAACATGTAAATCAAGGCTTACCAATTTTCACAGGAAATCCAGCTGGTAATTGCATCTGAATGAAATCCTTTAATTTAGCGAAATGCGAACTAGATATTGCCATTAAATCGACAATTGGCATGATTTGTTCTTGAAGACTAAGGGGATATTCTTCGCTAAGCCACAAAGTTGCCTATGAATATGTTTAAACAATGAGTTACAGATTTGAACGTTTCAATTGCACGTTTACGCAGAAGGTTCTTCAAAATACCTTAAATTTTTGTATTTTTGTATTAACTTCTTTTGGTCTACCTATATCCCTTCCATTTAGATCAACATCTGGATCAAAATACTCCTCGGCCGTAATATTAGAAGGATTTCCAACATTGTTATATTCTTCCTGAAACAAATGATTTGGTAAATCAACAATTAAAGCTTGTTGTATTTGTTTAACATCCAAAACAGAAAGTTACACTAGTAGTTGCGCTAACACAGTTCTCTTGCTGTTCCGCTATCCCAAGAAATGACTGAAGAGGCGTGCGTGGAGCACGAGCCCTTATTTTATCTGGTTCGGATAAATGTTCTAATCGTGTCTTAGTTATTAATTCTACGTTACTTGCGCTAAAAACCTTACAATCGTGTCCGTTTATTATTTCGGTTTTGTCCGAACGCCAACCCCACAAACCAGCTTTATTGCTAGCAAATAGAAATAACATTAATAAAAGTAAATGTGAATAGCGATGAAAACACAATGAAATAAATGATTACCGTTCGAAACTAATTTTATCCGTGTCTATGTACGTAGTAACTATAGGATTTGTAAGGCGAGCTAATACACCTTCTTCAGAGGGTTCCATTAATTGTATATTATCAACATCTATTAATTTCATATGTTCAACATACACCTTTCTCGTTTCATGATCAACTTCCATCATCGTTGCTCCATCATCTGCAGAAATAAAAATTCTATTCTTACATTGATAGAATAATATATCGTGAAATGATTAATGAAACAATTATTCTACAATTGAAACAGACTAATTATTTTCTGCTTTACTACAACTAATTAGAGATGTCCTAATAAAGTTTTTCTCAAGTAACTTGCCTAAATGTGTATATAAATAAATATTGAAGACAGATATTTATATACTTTTATAGCAATACAAATACGATTAAAGTACGTATAGTTTATGATATGTACACTTACCAGGTAAAACTTCAATTTATTGTATTAAAATTTTTAAACGTAATTCAAAGAAAATGGAAATAGTTATGAATAGGAACGAGAATAAATATGTATGTACATAAAAAAAACTATTGCAAAGTTTCCTCTACTTGACGAAAATAAACACTTTCTAAAATCCTGTACACCACATTAATTGTAAGAGTATTTCTGTCACCTGACTCTTGTCCCACCATACTGAACACATAACTCCGTTCACATCTAATTGCCACAGGTACATTTGATGCAGCTTGCATTTAATATATACAATTAAAGGATAAATAAAAGAATCTACGATTAATGTAAAAAGAAAAAAAGAATACTCAGAGTACCTGAAGATCAAAAGAAATTGTACGAGTGTCAAAATCCATGCAGAATAATATCCGTGAATACTCACTTTGTCCTTTGAAGACGTAACTACGATTCCCGCGTTGCCAATTCACGTGATCGAACCCCAATAATGTCGTGTCGATTCTCACATTACTCCCTTGTTTGTATACTTTGTAAGTATCACTAGGACACATTCTAGAGGCGAGAGGAACTAATAATAAAAAGAACATTAGTAGATAAACTATTGTTAATAACGGTGTTATAAAATGTTTGAATTACCCCAACTAGTGAATTCCCATTTCATTTCTACATAAAAATCAGGAGCCTGAAAATATTATTTCATTTTGGTTTACATTTATCAAACTAACTTTATGCTTTCTGCTTTGTTCTAAGTAACCCACTTGCTTAAGTTTGTGAAGTAACTCTGGAATACCAGCTACTCGATTGCAATATCTTTGATAATCCCTACGTGCTAGCACCATCTGTAGTAGCTCAGGATTCCCTGTCCCAACTGCTTCTTGGACCACTACAAATAACAATGACCCATTAATATCATTGCACAAAGCCAATATGTGACCTTAACAAACAAAACATTTTACCAGTCCATCCTTGAGTATTTTCTGTGTTAACATTAGCTTCATGCTGCAACAATATTCCAACACATTCGGTATGATCCAAAGTAACAGCTAACATCAATGGTGTTCTTCCTCTGTTATCAGGCTTTTCTATGTCATGCTGTAAAAGTAATTTTAATTAGTGAAGTCAATTACAAATTTCAATTCCCTTCTTAGTATGCTTATAAATTATTATTATAAATATCATTTAAAACGTGTTTCTTCTAAACTTCTAAATGTTCAAAGATTTCATCGCTAAGTATACAATGAGCACTGTAATCCGTTTATGAGCTTTATCAGAGCAGATAAAATTTTATTGCACCAGCATCATTTCTATGGGAACTAAGCTTCGACGAGCTCTCTCACTTTCTACGACATTATAAGATTTGTCATCGAACGGATTAAAAACACGTAATAATTTTACAAAGTGTATCACAATGAACAATATATTCAATGGATAATATCGAAAGTTATATGGCAGTGAACATTTATGGTTTCCCACATGCATGAGGCTTCACTCATAAATCTCTCTGACAGTGTACAGAGTGTTGCATTCAAATCAATATATAGTACGCAATTAATTTGAATGAATTGAATTTAATACGTTTGTTTTTCCTTTGAATTCAACCACACGTATTTACATAAAACAGTACCTGGTTGTAGTTGTGCAGTATCAACTTCATTCACATGCAATAAATAAACGATAAACCTCTAAACGATGCACGCGTAAAATAATTAATTGTCAATAAAGATTCGTTTCGTTTTATTTCATCGTGATTTATTGTCCAGCTATCCGAATGCTCCCAGAAGGAAAGCAGATGTAAGGTAAACGTCATTTATCGTGTTCCTTTTGCAAAAGAACTGGCAATCAATGAACATTGAATATTTCGTGCCTGACCGCCGCTTCTGTTCGACGTGTACGTGTCGCGATACTTTTGAAGACGATTCATTAATCGGTTAATATTTTTTTTTACGAACCAGTTTCGAAGACAGCTCCTCTTCTAGTTCTACATAGCTGTTATTCCATACGAGCCAGTGCAGCGGATAATTCTTTTGTATTGTGTCTATATTCACCATTTCTATGGGGTCCTTTTTAACGCTGACATAAAACACCAATAACTTACACGGAATCCCACGATTCAAGCACGCGACACAAAATCTTCTCAGGCGAATACATGACACCGAGAGACGACGGATGGGTATGTAAAGAGTAAATTATCATTACTCATCGACCGGGTACAACGGCTAGATAAGAAACTCAAAAGCGACATGAGAATGCGTTAAGTGATGAAAGGAAATGTTGTGAGTGGCGCTTATATACGTCCGACCCGGCAATCGTTCCTAAAACGATATAAATTTATTCCCTCCATTAAAAAATATATAACTCTAATGATTAGATCACGGATCTTTATGTGATTAATAATTCATACAAGTACTCAGGAAATAATAAAGCGCAATCCATGTTTTATTTTATATTTTTTCAATGAAGTATTATTAAAAATTGACAGTGCTTACGAATTACCACTAAAAATTTATTCTAATGATCGTAGATTACTCATTAGAACCATCTGAAGAGACAAATATAACTAATTACGGTGTTATCGTATTAATATATATTTAATAAAAAAAATATAAATCAAAGACGCCGATTTTTGTTAACAGTCAATCTCAATAGCAATAGAATGTTTATAAAAGCGTTCTGTATTAAAAGTGCATGTAATAATCCTTGCTTATACTGTCTAATTTATTATTTAATACTTCATACAAAAATTTATAGCCAAATAGACACTTACTGCCATCTACGTCAGATCTTCAAACTATTAGCAATTAGTCCTTCATTATCCTTCCTAGATAGCGCCGCCATACACTTTTCGCGCTTACTTCGCTATTTAATTAAATATTTAATTATTATTTAAACATTGGCAGATTTGAATACCAAACACCTTCATAAGAGAGTTCAATAAACAATTTAACATCGCGTAAGGAATACCAACAAATAATTTAACATTTTCGGATAATAATGAAATTTATAAATCAACATTTACATACAATTCCACGTAAACGATACAAACCGGTCAACGAAAACTGGAAGAAATGTATTTGAAATTTTCCAAAACGTATTATCTATAGTCGAACGATTAATCCGAAGAAAATGACTTTGAGAACGCGACAGAGTTGCTGGAATAAACGCGCTGAGATCCCGGATCGTCGGGTACCGATTGACGTCACCGATAGGCGGCCAAGATGGTTGTCAATGTTGATAAGTGGTTTGGTTACACGGAGAGCCAGTGATATAGCTGCAGCCGACAGGGCCCCCACGCGAGCGTAATTATGCCTGTGAAATAAGAGTCAGGCTCGCGGACAAGGAAACAGGCGGCCGTCATCGTGGCGCGGGATGGCGGACAGCGAGGATGCGGAACAAGAGATCCGTCGAGCCTTGGATGTCGTTCAATCCATGATTGACATTTCAGCCGTTCGGCTGGAGGGCTTGAGGACCCAATGTTCGACCAGCGCGGAACTCACCCAACAGGAAATTCGCACGCTCGAGGTACCGCTGCGAAATAAAATGACCACCACCGATTCCTTCCCCGTCTTAGCTCTGTTACCTTCAACTACGGTTGCCTTGACCTCGTGAAGGGCTACCACCGTCCGATTGTCAACAAGTTGCAAATGCATTTCTTTATCGACCTGAGGCACGGATCTTTGTACACGCGTCGGAAACTTGTCCGCGGATATTGAAATATTCTCATTTTGTTATGGTCCCTCGGCATCTCTGCTGTTTTTATTATTAAAAATCAATTTTTCACGATAGCGGACAGCGTACAGGGATTATTGAATTTTCGCTTTCTCCTGTGTGATTGTACACAGTGAGAGAAAATAATGTTTGTGTTTTGAAGATTGGCATTTGTAAATTGTTTTTAATTTAGTAAAGGTGTTTTTTGAATGAATTTATGTTAGGAGTTGATATCAGGTTATTTTATAAGAATTTGTCTTTGTATGGAAATGTGGGTTGATCAATAGAATTTGAACTTAGTCGTGTAGTGAAATCAGTTAATGTTGGATGCAAAGGATTCTAGTGTACGAGTAATTTATTGTTTGTAATTTTTCGTAAATTGTGTTTTAGGGGAAGCTTATTAAATTATATTCAAGACAACTAGTAACCAAAGCCAAACTGGCTGTAGAATCATTGCCTGCAGAGATGAGACAATATCCATCTCTGCAACAATGGTTGCGGGTAGTGGGACTTACGCAAGAGTCTATACAGGTATGGTTAATCTTTCAAATGTGCTGTTTTAAAAAATTTCATTTTGGAATTGAAATAAATGTGTTTACATATTAATTTCAGATGGTTTGTTCTAAAGCTAACTCGCTAGAAGCTCTTAAAGAGAAGTCTGAACACGAGTTAGGTAGTATGTTGGGGGAAACTAATGTTAGGCACGAGGAAGAATTACGTAGACTTTGTAGGGCATTGCACAATCTTCGTCGGTATATGGGTACGATCATTTATAATTTTTCCTTATAAGTAAATGAATGATTACTTTGCAATTACACATAATGTAATACTTACAACTTATCTTGTACTTTTTATTTTTAGACGTTCTCTTAAAGGGAGATATGGATAATAGTGATATGAATTTATATTGGGATTCTTGGGACAGACATACAACAAGATGTTCTATTCCTTCAGAAGACAGCATTCCATATCATAATAACAACAATAATCTTAACAGTGATATATTAGCACAAGCTTCTTCCGTTACATCTTTATCATCAACTAGTCCTCCTTCTACCCCTCTTTTACATAGGCCAGGACGTGGTAAGTAAAGAACGTTTTCCTGATGTCTTTTGCGTTCTATAGAATATGAAGTTTTGTAATCCTTCTTCTG